CAGAGACAGGAATTCAGAATTTCTTTTTGTTAGGAGGCTGCCCTTTTCACTGGAATACACTCCTGTCTTCTCCTGCTTGTAGCTTTTGGTCTCTCTTGAATCCTTTACTCCTTGATGGTGGCTCAAGCCAGCTGTGGGCAGAGTGGGGAATGGCAGAAAGCCACTTCCTGGCAGTGTGTCTAACCATCACCTATACAGCATGAAGAAGTAGATCATCTCCTTTGCTAACAGTTTAGTTTAATTCAAAAATAACCTAAATGCTGTGCATTGTGCTGACTTTGGGATAAAGATGCTTACTGGATCAAGGTCCTTGAGGATTTAGATGCAAACATGCCTAACTAACAGATCTGAAACAGGTGAAAGAGCTAAAAACGTACCATGAGTTTCAGCACAGTTCAGACAGGGGTGCTCCTTGGTTTGCATAGGCGTAGAACTTAAGAAGCTGAGGAGTAAGCACCTAGTGTATATCTTGTCAACCTGTAAATGTTAGACATCTAAATTCTACAAATGTGAAATTGAACTGTATAAAACCTTCCGAGTATGGGTGGCATTGTATCCTTTCTCTTTATACACAGTGAAATAGTGTGATAAGGTTCTAGTCTCTTGAAATGCGAGTCAATTGCTTCAGAGAGGTAAGGCTGTATTTAGTGGGACTACTTACAGAATCAGGTACAGCCCTCCACAGGTAAGATGATGACATTTCACTTTGTGGTTAAACATTTGCTTTTGGTTCTGCTTTGGGATTCCTCACGCAGCATGTGGCTGAGCTATGGAACTCCTCACCTCAGGACACTGCATGCAACAAGTTTACACAGGCTTAAAAGGCCCTTTGGTTTAACAACATTGACTTCAAGAAAGTTATTCTCGATACGCCCTTGTGTGAGATCGCACTAAGGCATGCTTCCTTCCTTCAGGAATAAAACAATCTACCAGAAAAGTCTAAGGAGATAGAGAAAATGGCTAATTCCAAAGGAAAAGAAAAAGGTTAGAAACATGTAGTTAGGACTGGGCAACCACAGGATTTTTTTAAGTGTTAAACTCAAGGAACCTGACTTGTGTAAGCACTCTAATAGTTCAGACAGAATGAATTCTGCATTACTCTTTCTCAGGCTGATTAGTTCCTACACTGTAAAATAAGCAGGGTTTTTTTACTGAGTGATTTAGAAAGAAATCAATACAATATATGCTTATGTCAGTCTCACAACATCTCAGCTACAGTTTACTCTATCTGCTGAGTACGAATGGCTGCAAATACCACTTCCAAGATGCACAGACATGATAAGTGTGCCAGTATTGCCATAATAGTTATCATATAATTTTTGAAGATCTCTTGATCCTTAAGCACTTGATACGGCTTTAAACTATTTCAACAGGAATTTGATCAACCATATTTTTTGTAATCTTATTACAGGGACACTGCATCCTAAAAATTCATTTTTAAATGCTGTTTGCTCAATTATGAATAAACTTTTCCCCCTTTTGTTTTCTGAATTAAACTGTTGAAGGTACTTTTCTCAGCTTATCTCATATCCTTTGCCTTCAAGCTTTTCTAAACAATAACAATCAAGATTTTTTCTGTTTTTAAAGACACTATCAATCTTTAATCCTTACACAATTTGTCTCCTAAACATTGGGGATACATATTTATGGTCACTTACAAAAGAGTTTTAACATAGCTATCTTGCACAAATCTGCCTATTATTGATTAAGTTCTACTCAAAGTCGTTATAGAGAAGCTGTAATTTAAAATACCTTTAAAAATTCACAAAAGAAGTGGACTGTAAGTCATCCTGCACTAGTGCAGGCCAACAGTCAGTGTCTAAATGTGCTAAATGCTTTGAAAACACATGGAAATTCAAGTTCTCTGAGCCAAACAATTTGTATTTGAAAGAGATAATACCCATCAGTAAGTGTTCCAAAAACAGATTGCTGGGTATCTAGAAACTGTTGCCAGCCAACACATTAACTAACTTGGTGCTGTGCCTGAAGACTGGAAACACTGTGTTCAGCACTCCCTGGGTTCATGTGCTTGGGCCTGTGTTCAGAAAGGATAATATTTCTTGGTATCAGAAAAGATATCATTTCTGTCCCTTATGCAGGGAACATCTAAACTCTAGGGGATGTTCTGATGCAGCCAAGAGGTGTGAAATTAGAAGAAATGGTCACCTTGTTTTCACTCTGTCATTGCTTTCCATGGACTGGAGCGGAATCTGAAGTTGTGTTCCTGCATCCCTCTTTCTGAAAAGGGAAAGAATGTTTGATATTTGCTTAGGTCTTGGAAGTAACTGAAAGTAACTGAAATGTTTGAAGTTCAGGAATGGGTGTCCAAAAAAGGAAAAATAAAAGTAGAAACATTGAATAATTTAGGTTGCAAGGGACTTCTTGAAGTCATGTAGTCCAACTCCTGCTCAAAGCAGATACAACTAGATCAAATGGCATTGGGTCTTGTCCAGTCCAATCTTAAATACCTCCAAGGATGGAGATTCCACAGCCTCTCCAGGCAACATTTTTCCAATATTTGGCCAAGAACATGGTGAAAAAATTTCCTTGTATCTGATTGGATTTTCCCATATTGCAACTGGTGTCTGTTGCTTCTCACCATTATCATAGAATGGTTTGGGTTGAAAGGACCTTAAAGCTGATCCAGTCCCAACCCTCTGCCACGGGCAGGGACACCTTCCACTAGAGCAGGTTGCTCCAAGCCCCTGTGTCCAACCTGGCCTTGAACACTGCCAGGGATGGGACAGCCACAGCTTCTCTGGGCAGCACCTCAGCGCCCTCACAGGGAAGAGCTTCTGCCTAAGAGCTCATCTCAGTCTCCCCTCTGGCAGGTTAAACCCGTTCCCCCTTGTCCTGTCACTTCATGCCCCTGTAAAAAGTCCCCTCCAGCTTTCTTGTAGGCCCTCGCAGGTGCACATTGTCACTGTGCATCTTCAAGAAGAGTCTGGATCCATTATCTTTATAGGATTCCTTTAGGTATTTGAAGAAAAGGGCCAGTACAGTGTCAGTTTGCTACTTCAAAGAGGCATGCTAGAATAGAACCAAATTCAGTACAGAGGATCTTGATTTATGTTTTCCACACTGATTCCAAAGGTTCAAAGAAATGCCTAAATTTCTGTACAGCCACTCCCATGCAAACCACAAAGCAAAAGAAAACGCTCTATGATTTTCAGTCTGGCCTTGTGCATAATGAGAATGACCCTATTAAAAGAGAGTGAGTGGCACAGACACCCAAAACCACTCTGTAATTGGCCTGGAGGAGGTTTCTCTAATACAGCCACTGAAGACATAGACTAAGACTGCCCCTGGGGAATCCTGATCCAAAATATATATGCTGGGAGTGGGTATGGAATGGGAAGGAGACTGCTAAAACTGCGGGTACTGCTGCAATCTGTAGAGCAGCCCAGTGGTATTCACTGACACAAGAGCTTTGAGATACACCAAAGGTTTCAATAATCCTTGTAGGAACTTGGCATCAGAAGGGACAAGAAATGGTTTAGAGCCCCCACAGAACTTGTTCTGTGGACTGCAACAGTCAAAATGCTGTGTTTCAAGAACCACCCTCTGGGAAGGGAGTTCACTTCATTTGCTTTCCCATGGAGATGATCCACAGGGACATTAAAACTGGAAACTTGTGTTATTTCAAATATAAAAAATGAAGGGAAAACACAGAATATCCCAATAATCTATCACATATTCGTTACTTATCCCAAAGGAGGAAAGTGCTTACCTCCCACTTAGAGCTTACAATGCACAGGTAGGAAATATCACTGCATTGGTATCCCTTGTGGAGATCAGATTTGATAGTTCTGGCTGGAGCTGAAGTGCTCCATTGCTGCACCAATAGAGAAAGAACAATTTGGGACAAGTAAAACACAGAAATAAGATACTCTAACCAAGTGATCTCTTCAAAGCAACGCTATTAGAAAGATACTGGTCTGTGACTCCTATTTTTAGTAAGGAATCATATTTAAAGTCTAATGTTAATCCATCCTCTTGGCCAGTTAATACCAAAAGTAATTAATGCTAGATGTTTATTTTAAATGGCCCCCAAATCCAAACAACAAACTTTCAGTACAAAGTAATGACAGTCCCAGTTATTTAGTGTGACAGATAAGCTCTGGACCTCCATTCTTAGCTCTACCACAAAGTTCCATCACAGTGTTTGATGAGAACAAATGAAATTAAAGCACCACCACTGTATTTCAGGTTTTGCTATCCTGCTGTAACTGGACTTTGAGACATCTGGGACTTTTTCTGCTTGGCTGTTGAATAAAATCATAACCTTTTGCCAAAGTGCCATCTGATCATGGAAATAAACTGCTCTTTCCTTTTCAGAGCTGAAGCTAAGCCATGGCTTGGAATATAAAATGCTAATATGTAGTTAATACAAGTGATCTGAGAGGCAAGTGTAACGCTGAATATTCCTATAATAACCTCTTAAGGATCTGTGAAGTCCAGATCTTTAGCTGCCTCTGCTCATTATGTCCACTAATGTTTTCCAACCTCTTTACAATTAACGTATTCTGGGAAAAATGCACATTAATCTTCAGTATGTGTGTACTCTCAATATTGGTTACAGGCATATATATGCACTTCCCTCCCCCCACAGCTGTCTTTCTAGTTTTACAAATCATAAACATTCTGTTCCTTAGTGATTCCTGTGAAACTTCTCTATCCCTTATTCATTCCTCGTTCTCTAGCATAATACTCCAGCTCAGCGTGTTTGGATCAATAAGTTAGCTACTTCTGCTTCTGAATGTATCCAGGGATACAATTTGTTTGGCAAGAATACTAGTTTATTTGCAAGTTGAGTGCTTTGAGAACCTGGCTAGGATTAAAGCTGTCTCTTGAGCACAGCAGAAGCGTTTTTACCACAGTGCACAGATCTGAGAAAAGTGGTGTCTCACTCTGCACAATGACTGTGAATTTGGGAAGCAACTAAGAGTTTAGAGATTATTTAGCTGATAATCAGTAATTCTAATTTTGTGTCCTATCAGGTGGAAATCCTTGACTGGAAGACAAAGGAACAGCTATGCTTCCTAGATAAGGTAAACCCCAAACCTGTTTAAAAGGCTAGGTGACTATGTAAAAAATCGTAACTTTTCTAAGTAAACTTAGTGTTTATGAAGGGTATCTAATCTCCTGATAGACTTTCTTTGGCCACTAAAGAGGCAACGATTGTGCACATTTCATACTGACTATAGACTACTTCAACCCTTTTCCAGAAGGAGCTTTTGAGTAAAGAGGACAACTTCATCTGCTTCACTGAGATGGTGCCACTTACGCTGTATTCACTCATAAGCCACCAAAGTATCATTGCTCTTGTAGTAACTCTTGGTGACTGCTAGAGAAGCTGCCTCTGAAGCAGATGTCACGAATTAGCCTCCCTTTTTCCTGCAAGAAGTACCTCAAATCACCCATACCAATGCTGCCATCTGTAAAAAAGTTAAACTGTCACATTGTTTGAGTAACATTTCTGCTTGAATAGTCGTAGACCTAGCAGTTGTCTTTCAAAATATGCATCTCACATATGCAATATTTTTTGTTGCCTAGGTGGAACCAAATGCCACAATTAGGGATATCAGATTGATGTTCCATAAATTATGTGAGTATAACGTTTGCAGCAGTTTGCATCATGACACAATATCCACTATATAAATAGGAAGAAATTATGTCATTTGAAACATGTGATGTGCACACACATAATGCTGAGTAACCTGCATATGAATGCAATCACAAGAGATTTCAGTATCATTTTTTTATCCTGATACACCTTTGCATTTTTTCTGCTGCATAATTTCTCACAGATATTCCTATTGAATAAATATTCCTAAAGATTTTAACTAAATCTTCTCTTGTTGTGTTGCACTCATTATAGTATTGGATGATCTAAAGCAAACATTGTATATCACACAATTCTGTATGGTCTTACAGATCCTCGGTGGTATCCAGCAAGGCAGTCGATAAAACTTGATCCAAGTAAGTACTTGTAAGGAACAGAGTAACAAAGCCCTGAGCAGGAGCCTGGCACAAAAGGTGTACTTTGCATGGGTATTAGCTCTTAAGAATGAGTTTACAGCTATGTTAATTATCACTGTGAAGGCTGAAGAGAACCCAGAATACGTTTAGTACTTTGAAAGTATTGAACACATTTCCACCCATGTGCCTGGTTCTTGGTAATTAACTCAGGACTCTGCACGTTGTTCCAATGCACTTACTAACTACTGAGCACTTTTGTTCTCAAGACAGGCACAGAATTGAGATACTAATTTCCCTTAGCTGCAGTGAAATGATCTCCACAGTGATGCTCACCTGGGAGTACTAAAAAGGGCTATGAGTTAGAGCTCTCAATTCACATAATCCTCTGCTCTCAGGCAGGAATTACAGTTCTTTTGAGGTAAGCTAATACAAAACACATTGCCATGGATGTAGGATTTGCTGACAAAGCTGATGCCAGCTGGCTGGCTTCGTTAATGCAGTAGTAGGTATTGCTGCTAGAAGCCTGGTACATGGCCTGGGTACACAAAAGAAAGTCTAACTGCCAAGCTGTGTTAATTCATCTCAGCATTCAGTACAAAATGTGGCACATTCTTCTTTTACTTCCATTAAGTGTAATTTTATTTTAACAGTCCCTTGCAAGTATATTGGTGAAAATCAGTTCATTATGTAGAATCTGTCCATGGAAACAGGCCTATGAGTATCTTTCTCCTTCTTCAAAAATCTACCTTGCCAGCTTCCTCCATGGACTCATGTTGTGAAATTTGCAATGAGAAAATGCTGGCCTTCTGGAGATTCCCCCAAATCTAGGCATTAAAAACCTGAGAATGAGCTAAAGTGCTGTGGAATCACCTCCTAGCTGGTTTGTTGGGCAAAAAACAAGGCATTGAAAACGTGTAGGAAAGCCTTCCTATCTCAGATTATCCTAGCTTCTGTTTGTCTGACAGTGCGCAGTGATAAGAGAGGAGAGAGATGGAGCTGCAGCTGACAAGGAGGTCAGTGCATGATGCTGAAGGTCAGTGACCCATCAGCAAACCCTGCTGTAGCAGTAATGAAGCAAGCCGACTAGACTAGACAGGCACAGAGGACCAAGAATTGATCTAGAGGATCCAGGCTCTTACGTGATTACAGGGATAAATGGTAATTAAGTATAAACATCCTTAGTTTGTTTATCGAGATTCCAATAAACCCACATCACCACAAAGACTCTCACAGATGGGTTAAAGCACAATACAAAGCTAATACGCTGCCAAAGTTGACTTGAATTTCACTGATGTAATTACTTCTTTCCTTCTCAGAAGGAAAGTCCCTGAGGGATGAGGAAATCCTGCAGCACCTCCCTGTTGGCACAACTGCTACCTTATACTTTAAAGATTTAGGGCCACAGATAGGATGGACTACGGTGAGCTATGCTTCAAGCCTGAGCCACTTTAATGGCTATTTTTCCTTACATCATTTTTTGTCTCCAATATTTCTGCATGATGCCTGCTCTGATAGTGGATGCAGGCAATGAATCTTCATTGCTTCAGTTCATTTAATCAGGGAAAGCAGTAAGAAGACACTCTGAATACCTAGTTCCCTGGGAGAGCAGCAGTGGAAAACTTGCTGCAGGGTAGGCTGGCTCTGCTGAACTAAGCTGCAGGTTCTCAGATGGATTTAGATGTCTACTGCAAAATCAGTAGGAACTAGGTGCCTAAATACTTTTGGGGATCTGCTTCACAGTGCCTGTGTAACTCTTCTGACAAAGATCGGGATTATACTCCTACAAGTTTGTCCTGCAGAAAGGCATGTGACAACTTCACATGTCAGTAGTTGAAGTGAGTTCACCAAGTAAGACTAGTAAGTAGCTGTCTGCGTGTGGCTGCTGGTGGCAGGCGAGTGACAGCTGCTAATTTCTGCAGCAGTAGCAGCCGTTCACCAAGACCTTGCATATTTACTGTCTTAGCTCAAATGCAAATCCTGTACTTGGCAGGCAACTTGTTTATGCAGTAAGGTGACCAATGACCCTTCCCTTTCTTCAGAAGGCCCATGATGCACAGATTACACTAGTTGTAATGAAACAGCACAGCCAGAAAGAAACAATACCCCATAATTTAAAGGCATGTTTGCCATTTCTTAGCTACGAGACATTAATAAAATCTTGTGTTAATGGCGAGTAGCAAAGACAATGTTCATAGGAGGGAAAATAAAAAAAGTCAAATGTTCTGCAAGACCGAATCTTCACATCATTACTTGGCATGTGATGCTGATAAATCAGGCAGCTATTTCACAGCAGAAGACAGGCAAAAGCTTCTAATGGCCATGGAGACTCCAAGACACACATGCATTAAGATATACCAGGATACTGCAGTGCAGAGTAACACCAAACTTCTGCCATTCCATAATCATTCCTTTCCATTCCGCTCTCCCTGGCCTTCAAGCTACTTTGAATGTGAAGCAAGAAATACTTCAGTATTATAAAATAAAGAAGTTAAACCTGTCATCTACAACCAAATCTGATCTTCACTGGAGAAAATGCTGATGTTTACAGAAGTTGATAACACAGCTTGTCTGAGTGTCGAAATAACTGTAATACATTAGAAAACAGTGGTTAGGGTTTGGTTACTGGTTTTGTTTTGGTTTTTATTGACAGAAGTACAATCAATTTCCCTTCTTTCTCCATAAATGAGTTATGGGCCTACCTTGCTCACCTACAGAAGTGTGAATAATTCAACTGTTAACGCTTGGTCCAAGGTTAACTTGAATTTAAAGCGATGCTCCTCAGAAATGCACACCTATCTGAAATGAAACCTAGCTAGATAACAGCTTCAGTGCTTTCCTCTCTTTGGTTTTTTTTTTTTTTAATCTCTTTGTGTTCAAATTAAAGACTGTTTGAACACAGAATGTATTGATTGTTTCCCAGGCTATCTGCTGTGCTAACTGTTCATACAGATGGGGTCACCTCTGAACACTTACAAGCTGCATTTCCAGTTTAAACAAAATTAATTCGTTAGAAACAAAGCTCCTCTTTTTCAAGACAAATTCTTCACCAGACTTCATTTTAACCCAAAATAAAGCAACAGTTTCTCAGGGCTAGAGGAGGGTGAGAACTGTGCAAATGTAACATGCATGCGTATTTACCATGATCTCTGGCTGCTCTTACTATCTTTGCATACCCACACTGTGTCAGCTGCACGGGCAATGGCTGTTTGTGTGCAATGGAGGCAAATGCCTTGCAAAATGTTTACATGCATGTCTACCAGTTTCATAGCCTAAGCCCAAATCTGCTGTTCCTTCCCTGCCTCTCTAAATGCCATCTTGGGTCAGTGGAGGGGTTTATCCCACTGCATTAGTTATCACTGAGAAACCAAAGCAAAACCATCTTCTAATTCAGCTGTCTAATGATTTTCTCTCTTTTTGCAGGTATTTTTGATAGAGTATACAGGTCCATTGTTCATCTATTTTCTGTTTTATTTCCGCATGCCTTTTGTCTATGGGCTGGATGAGAGGTTTACATCAAGTCCGCATCCAGTAGTTAAGTAAGTCCTTTTGCAGGCTTGAGCAAGTTATTTCTTGTTAGCATTGTAGTCTTATTCCAAATGTCTTGCCACACTTGTTTTTTAAGCACTCTTAAATGCTTTTGTCTTGCTGTTTCTAGCTTGGCATGTATCTGCCATTCTTTCCACTACATCAAAAGGTTGATTGAAACAGTATTTGTTCATCGGTTCTCCCATGGGACTATGCCACTGAGGAATATTGTGAAGGTAAATTGTGTCAGAATCTATCCATGGCCCCCCTTACAAATCCAACCTAGCCAACCTATGCTCTGCCTCTGCAGCACAGACCTTTTGGTGTGGCTTTTGCAGTAACACACAGCAAATCTCACCTGTAAAACTGTAGTTCTATCAAGAGATTTCTTAATGTTGCTATCGTATAACCCATATGTTGCCATACTGTTATTCATGTTATAATAGTCTCACTGCTTTTTTAGAATCACTCAGCTAGCTCCTTGGCAGAGAAGGTTTTAGTAACAGCATGAAGTTTTAAGATAGCACAGGCAGGCACAGTGTTGAAGGGTTTTGCCCTCAACACTCTCTTTGCTGTTAAGCAACTGCTAATTTACCTTGGATCCAGCACAAAGCAGTTTGGTTGTTCTGCGTTTTCTTCTCCCACAGGAGCACTCCCTGATGTTCCTACTGCTGCTGTGCCATAGGGCAGTTGTTGAGATGCAGACCCCCCATTTCCTAGATGTCTGTGAAGTAGTACAAAGAACTGCATGGTTATGCATGGGCTGTAGTTATTTTACAAATGTTTGCAACAGAATACACACTGGTACTCAAATATACGCTTTATACTCAGGAAGACAGGGAACTGGAAAAGCACATAGTATCAGCATTTGGGTACCTATCATTTGGTATTTAGACAGACCCTTGGAATTTGCCTTAATGGCCATCATACTTCCAGCAGCTGAAGGTCTACCTGTGGCTAACTCGTAACAGATGTGTTCTGCTAGTTCTGGTAGGAGCTTCATGCTTTCCAAGTGGAGGGAGGGTCTGTAGTTGAGCAGCGGCCCTCGGGAAGAACTCTTCCTGGCAATTACTGTGTTTTCTGCAGTGGAAGAGTGCAGGGGTTGCTAAAAGGCTAGCAGGTCTCTTAAAGACTTGTTCTTGACACAAGAGAAGCTAATGCATGCTAAACAGCAGAAAAATGAGCAACTTTACCTTGAAAAAGGATGTGTGCAGTGTGGTAAGTTTTTTCTCACTGCCATCTCTGACAACTACTCCTTCCTTTCAGACCACACAAACTGTTGTTGCTAAAATTGACATTTTTACCAATCATCCTGATCACTTCTACTTTTCCACCTTCTCAGGTTGGTGATACTTGCTTTCGTCTGTAAAGTTGCTCACAGTTCTTCTATCTCTTAGCAGTGCTTGGGTTTGATTTGCTTTTATAATTTCATTGACTTTAGTGGTTTTACTCCAAAACTGTGCCAGTGAGAAAAGTATCATATCCTCTTCCTTTTTTGTCACATGCAGATGGTAGACAAAGCTTCTTGCTTCACGTGTTTGATCACATACATAGCAGATAGACAGAGCTTATTTCCTAAGCACCTGGAATGTTATCTTTAATAAGACCCACTTCAGTCTCAGTAAGCAGAGATCTGAGACAGGAATTGATGAGATTTGTGATTTTCATCCTTTGTTTCCCAATGGAAATAGGAATAAATGATGCCATAAAATGCAGTAGGGGTTCATCGAAAGCGGAAAGATAGAACACATCATATATGTGGGCTTAGTAAACTCAGATTGACTAAAATAGGGATTAATACAAAAATTGTGTGGTGATAAAGAAACTAACTAAAGGAAAGATGATTGTGGTTGTGCTGGAAAAGCATGTCAGACCTTTAATAATAGGGAGGTACCAGTGGAATTCCTCAAAGATTATAGCCTTATGGCTGGTCTTACTGAGCACTTTTGCAGGTAAATAGAAGGGATATTGCTGCTTTCTATAAAAACATCTGGAGGAAAGAAAACATTAGACCTAAAGAAATACCATTTAAATCAGAAGACAATATAATGAGACAAACAGAAGGGTACATGCTAGTCATGAATAAACATAGGCAGGGCATTAAGAAATAGCTTTGATCATCACAGGGATCATCAGTTAGAATAGAAAAGACAAAAGTCCTAACCATAACTTTATAAACTTAGGCACAGTTTATTTATGGGATCCCTGCAATATCTGAACTCGATCCACAATTATTATTTTATTTTTATTAGAGACTGTTGCAAAACTTTATTATTTACCTGGAATATGAAATATGCACAGAAACAAATTTCTCTCAAGTGAGTTTATGAAGTCTGCATGTACTCTGCTGTTCCTGTCTGAACCTCACTGGAGGCTTTATGAGCAGTAAGACTTCTAGTGGCAGCTAGGCATTTGTAGTGGCAGACTCCACTCTGCTTAAAGCTCCTTTTCTTATACCAGAGGAATACTCCTGAAGCAAAACATGTTCTTTGGATGAACAGCACTTGCTCAGTTTAATTACAGCATGTATTGTTGGGAGCTGAGCCACGATTGTTTGTTTATTTAATTTTACTTTACTGAAATACATTGCCGTATGACCCATCCTGTGCCAAGCCCTGAAGTTAGGGAAAGGTTTTTCATAAGATGCCATTTCAAGATTACAAGAAACTGTTTCCACCTAAGTTTGTACAGCAGTTAGTAAATTGTAGGTTATGTTGGCAGATGCTTGTGTTAGGCAGGAAGAAGTAGTTTGTGGATAGAACTCTAACTAAACTCTTCCTCACTGGAGTCATTCTTCTGGCTCTGCTGCTTTTCCTGAGGAAAAGAAATGTAATCACAGGGCAGGGGGGTTGGAACTAGATGATCTTAAGCTCCTTTCCAATCCAAACCATTCTATGATTCTATGATTCTCTTATGTCCCACCTTAAGCTCCTTTCCAATCCAAACCATTCTATGATTCTATGATTCTCTTATGTCCCACCTGATCTGTACTTACTGGTTAATAATTCACTCTTTCTCATCACTTATCTATTAACATATAATCTCAGAGCTAGGACATACCACATGCTTATATTACAGCATACCCCAAAAGGTGTTCATTTTGTCTGAGGTCTCTGGGCACTTCCATGGTTCAATTAACTCTGAAATGGAAGTGGGAAGACAACAAAATGTCTGATACCAACATTTGCACAGATGGGAGGGCTTACCCTTCACCAGCATTTTCAGCATAACACACCAGCAGGCACTGCAGTTGGGTAGTGTGGGCTGCACATGCTGAGGTAGTCACTTCTTTGGGGTATTAGTACTAGAAATTCAGTTCTGGTTTGTATAGTAGAAAAGGCTGAAAAATTCCAAGTAAAAAGAAAAGTTAGACCAGCCAGGACAGGAAAGAATGCAGCCTTTGATAAGAATTTTGGCTTCATGAGCAGGATGTGAAGGAGAATGCAGAAAGACTAACAATGTCTAAGGTACGTGAACCTATTGGAAGGCTAAGAAAAGAGCATCACAAGAAAGAGTAAGAAGAGCAGTGTTTCACTTAAGTGAAAACAGAAGGAAGGAAAGATCAGAGAAAGGAAAAGAACAGGAGAAATGGTGAAAGGAAGATGGAGAGCTCAGTTTTGGTCTTGCTGAAGTCCAGGTGATAACCAAACATGCCCTAAAATACGAAAAGCTGAGGCACTAGGTTTGATAAAAGAAGAAATCTCAATCGATGAAAGGCAAATTTCTGAGTTGTTGGCAAGGGTTAAAGTCCGTCTCTGCACGACTGCAAGGAGGAGACTCCTCTGCAAGGAGAAATAGGCCAAGAATGGGCCTTCCTCCTACCTGCGCATATATAAGGTGGGAGAAGATAACCTGTCACCAAGATAATGAATGAGTGTCATAAGAAAAGCCACAAATGGCAGGGCCAGCAAATCTAAATGAGAGGTAGAGACTGTGATTGTAAGTAGGTTTTTTTTCATGGATGAAGCCTGTGAACAAGCTTTGAGATTGGTCAGGAATGAGCCAGCCCAGCCATGAGGTATTTTAGCAGAGTTTAGAGAATGGAAGCTGGGTCACAGAAAGCCAAAGACAGCAGCAAAAGGGACGAACTAAAGATATCGCAGTGCAAGGGCAAAGGAAAGCATCAGGCACCATGACTGTAGGCAGGAAAAGTTAAAGCATGGGAAAGAAAGAAAGGAAACTGATGGGGTAAAAGAAAGAGGAAAGGCAAGAGACTGGGCAATACAAAGTAATAAGCATGGAAGAAAGCACAGTGCCTAAATCTGGTTTTACAAAGTCTCAATGGTCAGCAAAACAGGTCTCTCTTCAACATACAGCCTATATGGCACTTCTTCTTTGGCCAATGGCTTGCCAGACAAAATAGATTTGTTTTCAGTAGTATCAGCATATTTTCTAAAACAGTTAAACTTAACAGCTCCAAGATATTTGGGAGGAAACCTCTCTCTATGAGCACTATGTCCTTCTTGTTATCTCCTGCTGTCTGCTCCCACCTTACCACACTTAGTATTGTCATTTTCTGTTGTATTATCAGCAGCTTGAAGAATCAGCCCAATTCATTGTTATCAGCGGTCCTTGCAGTGAATACTGGCCTAGAGGATCGTACTAAAACAAAGAAAAATTCCCTGTTTTTCAGAACTGCTTGTATTACTGGGGATTTGCAGCTTGGCTTGCTTATTACATCAATCATCCTCTTTACACTCCTCCGTGTAAGTAGCAAAACAACTCTCAATATGATTTAAGTACCTATATATTTGTCTGTTTGTGCTACTCACATCTTAACTTTCTTTTTTTATAGCCTATGGGAAAAAACAGATCAATTTTGCTGTGATCATGTTTCTGGTAGGTTTGTTGTTCTTTTTATAAAATGACAAAACACGTTACTTCTTATGTTGTGTAAGTGGAGGAGTGAGTAGGGTAAGCAGATACTTAGAACTTCAACGCTTGGGACATACTATGAAGCTGATCACTTGCATGCTGAACAGATATATGTCAGTTTTTAATGTGCTCTTGTACACAAGGGAAGATTTTGATTCAGTATCCATTCCAAGACTGGGATATTTATCTCTCATAATCTTTAAAAGAATCCTTGGACTATCAGTTTGTGACACTGTGTTTAAAAGCCAGTGAGTTCGTTTTCTGAACTGTTTGAGTGTTCAGGATCACAACAGATCACAGAACTCAGAAAACTGGTCAACTAAGCAAGCACATACCTGTTGCTGATCATTTCCAGGGATAGACATTCATTTTGCTGGGCTTCAGAAATTTATTACAGCTTTCCTTACGAAGAAAAAGTCTTAAGTCACTGCCTGTTCATTCTCACACTTCCTAGGAACATTTCATACATGCAGAAGCAACATTAGAGTAGCCAACAAAGATGTACCCATTTTTCCTATGTATATGTAACTTGTTTAGAACATCAGCTGCTCACTTGCTTGAGAAACTGCCAATGACCACAGGATCTCAAAGCAGCTTCCCAGTAGGAAAATTCTGTGAGTTCATTTTATAGAAAGCACAGAGCTGGCAATAAAACTCAGGAGCTCTGACCACCAGTCATCTGCTCTAATAGTTATGCTTTGCAGATGCTGCAGACTGCCCATAGTCATGTAAATGGGTCATTTCAATACACTTCCTGCATAATTGGTTGGTGAAGCATTATTTCCAACCAGTGGAGGAAGCTGGGTCAATTGTATTTCGTGATTCACATAAATTACACTCTAGAGGAGAAAACCTAAAGAGTCCTTAATCTTCCTGAGGATTTTAGTAACTTTTGAGAAACCAAAACTATCCAGATGAGGGGGGGTTTGGTGATTTTTAAAGACATGAGTATAACGAAAAGATAAAGCAAGTTTTTATCACAAGATAAGCAAGGTTTATTTTTATCCCCTTTGATTTATTGCCTTTAGATCTCATAGGGATTACATAAGTAGTGAATTTGATCCTTTGGACAGAGAGTCCACATTTGCTGGCAAATCTCATAAATATATGTGAGTATAGTATGAGTACTTATAACTGTAATGTGGGCTCATGTTTGAACAAAGACATTCCATCCCCCTGTCAGACAGCTACTGTGGTTAAGGATATTTATTATGCTTATAATAGATTCTTTCCCCCACTCTCCTCTTTTTTTTTAAGTACCCCAGGAAATAACAAAAGGAAATCGAGTCAATAGAAGGGAAGCACATGTTTAACTCTGTCATGCTTTTTCCTTGCAGCTGTGTGAAGCTGGGAACTTTTCCATTCACGTTGCACTCAGTGACCTCCAGAGAAATGGTAAAAACTGCACTTTGATGCAGCCATTCAGTACTTCTACAGTTACTCTACCTGATGAAAGATTGATCCTGGAGGGTGTTGCTACCTGATAGCTGACTGCTGCGGGAGCACAGGTTGCTCTGCGCTGCCAAGATTGGCTCCTAGCAGAGATCAGACAGTGCAAGGAATCCAAGATTGTTAAACAGCACTTCTTATCTTACTGGAATTTTGATCAGTTTAGGTTGGGGGAGGGAGCAGTTATATAAGTTACACTGGTTGTGCAAAAAGAAACAGTGCTAGTGTAAGCTATGCTTTGGTGAGCAAAGGAAAGTAATTTACCTGGCTTCTATAGGTGGCACAAGATCTCTGTTCAGGCCTTGGGCAGGACTCAAACATCTTACAGCTGTCAACTGTGACTGCAAAAATCCCATTTTGTGACAACCTAAGAAAAACTTTAACTTCTAAATCTAAAACTTAAGGTACCTCTTCTTACAGGAGTGGCTGTGATCAAAGGCATGTGTAGATGATTTTCTAATGCCCTAAACATTTCCCCACAGTTATCCCATTATCCTATTCCTGCTTGCGGGTCCAGAGGACATCCTGTGTTCCCCTCACATCCTGCTTGTCCTTCTGACAGTGATGAGACACAAGAGTAGGCAGAGTTGGGTTGTCTTTATAGGAAACAATATATTTAGGAATGTGAATATTTTGTGATTTGTTTTCTAATCTATAGGATCCAAAACCCGTAAGATCCCATATCCAACAAAGAATCCTTTCACATGGCTGTTTTTCTTTGTATCTTGCCCTAACTATACATATGAGGTATGTATTTTCAAACAAGATGTTCAGATTTTAGTTTGGCTGAATATGTTTTCAATTCTTTTGGAACGTTAAACATGAAACAGTTCAGCTCAATACCTTTCCCCTCCTCCCCTAAACCCCGTGAAATCAGATTTCAGACAGGAACTTGTCTGTTCTTCCTCTCCTCCATTGGGGCAGTACTTAAAGGGCTAACCTTAAACAGACAGCCCAGACCCTGGGCCCGTGCTTCAGGTTGGACTTGATCCTAAAAGTCTTCTCCAACCTAGTTGATTCTGATTTTAAAGCAGTGCAAATTTTGCAGACACGAACAGGGAGATTGTCACTGAATGTGTGCTGCAGTGAGGGGAAGGGGGCATCTGGTGGAGTTACTATACAAGGAATATCACAGACAAATAGAAGATACTGTGGTAGAGGAAAAGAGACCCAGGTCGTCCTCCCCATTTTCTTGTTATCCAGTCACTTGTGTTGGTTGTGATTGCTTTGGAAGCTTGAATCAGTTTATTGCTTCATATTCCTTAATCAGAAGCCAAGCTCCTGTCTCAGTTCAAGAGCAGTTAAAACCAGTGCAACTCAGTGTAAAATTCACTCTTGCACAGAAAGACAGCATCAGGTTTTAACTTCAGAGGTGATTAACAGACATTAATGAGAACAGAATTTGGCCTCAGACAGAAAGTTATTGTTCCTGTCACTGGTGACAAATACAAAGTAGGCAGAGAAATGGAAAAGACACTATGTTGTAATGCTTACCTTTTTTTCATGATAATAGCTATGGAAGCAAACATGAAGGTTTTGTTTGTGATAAGGCGGCACTGTTCACCTTTTTGGCTAAAGGTTATTAACAGTAGAAACTGATCTGGCTGACCTTGGCTTTTTTATTTACCTATACTAGGACAAGGTTGGTTTTGATCAATAGAGACATAAATGCAAATGCTGTCACCAGAAATATTTTAAATTTCCTTGGCCAAAACAGGTGGGGACCTGGATCAGTTTCACTATCATGACTCAGTGTGTTCCAGGTGAGTAATGTTTTGGTACTTCATCCTGAAGTGATGTCAGCAACAAGAGCGAGGTTTTAATCTGATAATGAAACGTATCTTTTTCTCCCTTCTTTCCAGTGGGGCTGTTCACCTTGCTTTGCTTCATTCAGATGACAGTCTGGGCAAAGGATAAACACTGCACCTACCTACGAGAATTCAAGGATTATCCAAGTCTTCGAATGCCAATTATTCCCTTTTTGTTGTAAGAAAAAAGGCCTCATTTGAATATTGCACAGAACTTCAAGAAGAAAAAGCTCATAAACCTCCTGCCAAATAAGTGAATAAATGTAAAGGGGTTTGATGCATGTTGAATCTCCACTGCTGAGGGAAATTGTATGCACTTGAAAGCTCCACTTCTTTGCATTCAAGAATTCTCAACTCAGAAGCACCTTCTAGAAATAAGGCTTCACTCTACAGCTGGCAATCAAAAGCCCCTATGATTCACTGTAACCTGATTGACTTAGATTTTCATGTACAAGTCTATTTAGATTGATGGATCAGAGACACTGAGAAGCCTGTGCTGAAAAGCAGCTCCAAATTTAGCAGTGGCATTCTGCAAGACATAAGTGCATTGGAACGAGGACATACCAGCTAACTACTGGAGAGCTGAGTTCAGCCAGCATGGCCAGCTGCCCTGAAGACAGTTGCATGATCTGCCTTCTTTGACTTGAAGATGAGTGTGCTGCCTGGAGGCAGGTGCTTTGTAACACATAACATTACCAAAGAATATGAATGGTTTTATGGAATAAAGAAATAGGCAATATCTGAAATACCTGATTTGGGTCTAACCCCTAATTTGCCAAAAGAACCTCAAGTGAGAAGCATTTGTAGTATTTGGGGATGTAACACCCTGTGTTGGTGTTGATGGGGTTTTTGTTTGGTTGGTTTCAGTCTACGTCATTAGTACATTGCATACTAGTAAATAAGGTTCAGAAGATCTGATCTATGCTGTATCTGTGATATTTAGCCTGTTTTCATATAACAAGTCCTTATGATACTAAAGGACCTTTTACCCTGCATTTTATGTCAGTATCCTCTGAATATTTTTTATACACTTTGTAGATACATGAAGTGACTGCTAGTCCTCAGCTCCCTTCCTATTTTCAGAGCCAAGAAGAAAAATCAGCTACAGTTTTGGACTTCCTGTGTTTTCTTTTTCACAAGATGTTCAGTGGGACTTAGTTGGGTTTTGTGCAAAATCTAGTAAAAAAAGACTATTGCAATCTATCCGAATTACATTTTCAAGAAGCTATTCTAGCATATGAAGAGAATGCAGAGATACTGTTTTGTTTCATGATTCATTTATTTCTAATGGATGTATAGAAAGATTTTTTTTCAACTACTTGTAAGGGTGAAATATGCAATAAATTCTAGACTCTATTTTAAAATCAGTTGAAATAATTATGGCAAAAGAAGAAGACTACAGCTGGTTGCTGAAGTTTCATAATATTTTGTACAATAAAAAGTAAGAATGTCCTTATATTAAAAAAATTCTACCTCAAGTGATGAAAAAAACCCTAAGAAAGCAAAAAAAGAAATACATGACCCAGACTTTATTTCTATATAACATATCTCAGAGAGGATTTCTTAGAAATGCTTAGATCTGGTAGGTAACTGAAGCAATACATCATCATGAATTTGTTTTGTGTTGTCATTTTCCACTGGTTTAACCGTGAAGCAGAGAAAAGAACTAAATGTCAAATGGTTTCCCACTGAGTGCAGTGTGGAGTACAAGCAGGTTGAAATTCTCCTTCTGAGCACAGAGAAAAGCACATACCTTATTCACACTTTACGCTCACTTCAGGTCCAATCACAGAAAAGAAGAAAAAATTGATCATGTTTAGTTAGCAACAAAGATACCTTTCCAGGCCCCTCTGACGAAACAAAACTTTTGGCAGATTTGAACATACTTTCTTTCCTTTTAATCTTCCTTTTGACATTTTGCTTCTATTTGAGAAACTGGAAGATGAGTATGAGATCATTTTCATTGAGGTTTGGGGTTTTTTTTTAAAGCAAATTTCTTGCCTGGGTCTGAGATCTGAATTAATTCTTCCCATTCAGGCTGAAACAACTGTCTGTTTTCACTGGTAGCCTGGTGAGACAGTGAAGAAGTCTCCCAGCACTAGCCCTATCAGCCAGCACTGATGTTCTGACCTTGGTAGTCCTGTACACTCAGGATGGCAGGAATCCACTTCTCAGCTGGGCAATGCTCTCTGCACTAGGACCTGTCTGCTGACTGGTAGCAGTTGACGTAAGAGTTAAACAAGAAGAACCTACCAGCCTGAAAGGACCAGCTGGAGAAACTGTCTTTAATGCTCTTTACATGTCAACAAAGATGAATCTTCTTGTATCTGATAATGAAGATACATGTTAGAGGAAGATTTTGTTCTATAGCAAGGACCTGCCTTTCCTTTGACACTTTCAGCATATAGCGTTCCATATAGAGCAGTAAAAGTTTGCTGTTGCTAGGGCTGTTGCTGTTGCAAGCACAGTGCTCAGAAAGGTGCAAAAACAAGTCAGTATAATACTGAGTGTGGGGACCTTTGTTTGAGCCTTGTACTGCTCTGGTATGGCACATCTTTGCACTGTGCACACTGAGTGCTAGTGACTGTAGGAACAGTCTATGCAACTGCCTGCTGATGCAAAGCAGGGGACACCTTTGCTTCTCGGCTGGCTCCGGCTGCACGGGGGTGCAAAGGAATTTCCTCATCCTCCATCTGCTGTTTAGCAAAGTTCACAAAAACCTGTGTGAGGAAAGCAGAAAATGTCACCATCTCATCAGCTGAGATGAGTTAGTGGAATGTCTCTGTACATTTGCATCCTCTTGGCCTCTCTGTAGCGAAGAGACAGGGACTTTGTAGATGTGAACTGAGACACCGTGCATCAGCAGAGATCATTAATTCCTTCTTTATTTTGATAAACTTCCTTGCAACTTCCTTCCTTTGGATGCACTTGCTTGTAACTAAACCCCTTTTCTTAAGCAGAAGACGGATTCAGCCAGGTTTGCATAGTTTGGTTGTGATGGGAAAAAGGAGACTGAATATTTTAGCAGGAAGCTGTAAGGCAGCCAGGAATGTCTCTAGCATTACCAAAGACACCTTTGAATATGTGGACCCTCAGCTGCCTCGGAAAGCAGGCACATGGGGCTAATACCCCCTAGCAAGTGGGTGTTGCTGAAAGCCCAGTGAACTTCCCAGGTTTTGTGTGCCTAATTACTCCTGCATGAAAGTGCATGACAGGGAGATATAAACATTTAAGTAGACCTCAGGCTACCTCTGACACAACCCAGTCCAGATCTCTTATTAAAAATAAAACACTATTCCTAGCTCAGCAGGCCTCATTCTGAATATCTGACCTTGCTCAGACTGCTGCTCCTGAAGGAATGGGTTGTGTGAATTCTGTCATCTGGGAAACTGTCTTACCAGCTTTCAAATGACACTTATTTACACAGGGAACTAATCACAGACTTCATATCTGATCCACCCTCCTAGATGAGGGGTCTGGGAATTTTGCCTGAGAAAGAGGTGCGAGATAATTCTCTACTCTGAACAGTTTGATCCTTCAGTTGCTGGGATACATCCCAATTGCATTGCCAAGGTCTGGCCAGGCTTTCCCATGGATGCTTTATTTTTTACTCACCTGATCTAAAGTTGTTTGAGACACAGAATATTCCTCAATATGCAAGTTTTCCTTATTGGAGACTATTAACCGAAAAATCTTAGCCAGAGAGGAGGAGCAGATCTGATACTGCAGCATATTGTAGTGTTTCTCTCTCTGTAAACTCCCTGGGAAGTTCATGCGTATGAATTGCTCAGCAGGAGTAGGATCTGGAGGCAGCCCAGACTTTGGAGCTTTAATTTTCAGAGTGACAATGTAGCCATCTCCAAACCTGGGAAACACATGTGGATGAAGAGATGCTTTCATTCTACAGGAAGGAAACTAATTTTCTGCAGCTATGAAAACATGAATAGGATCTGAAAGATAATGCATAATATCTAGTTTCGTAGGAGGCCTGGTATTTGCCCTGCAGAAGTGGTGTGTAGCACAACAGAGTAGAAATGACATCTGCTCAAATTGTCTAGGATACCACTGAGTTGCACCCAGAAATGGGTCTGTTTAAACAACAGCTCTTTAGATTGGATTACTGTTTTAAGAATGGCACATGTCACATACACTAAGTTTTCCCATTAAAAACACCATAAAAGTGTTCAACTTACTTGTATTTTAGCTGCTGAATTGTGCCCAGGCATTTGAAGGTACCTTTTACCATGATGGCTAAACGAGTACAGAGGGCTTCACATTCTTCCATGCTGTCAAAACAGAGAACAGATACCTGAGGTGAAAGGCAGCAGATGAACTTCAGCTGCTGTGGAATTCTGAACTCTAACTGTTTACCTGTGTGAGGTTAGAACCACAGCTCTCCCATCTCTGAGCACACTGACAATAGAATCCCACAGGAGGCGCCGGGACTGAGGGTCCATTCCAGTTGTTGGTTCATCCTGTAAGGGAAACGTTAAGACAGAGTCAGAGAAGCAGGTAAGAAAATCTATTTTGAATCAAGTCATTGTTTAGGTCTTAGCATATTGCTGCTTCCCTGCTGAAATTTGTGCCTTTAGAATGCACACGCAGCTTGAGAAGTGAGTAAATGGGTACTAATGTGCTTCTTGGCAGAAAGCAGTAAAGAAAGAAGTACAAGAAACTGTAGGTGAGGATATAATGCTGTCTGTGTAAGGCACAGCTACAGGGGAGAGAACGCAGTGACAGTTACAACAAAGGCAGCACCTACTCTAGGGTCTTAGATATAAAAAATGTAAACATTTGTGATACCCCATTATAAAACCTTTTGGGACCCAAAATACAACTAAATACAAAGAGGCTTATGCAGTTACATCAATTGTGTCAAGTCTGTCTCCCATGTTCTGATGGACATTAGAGATGTAGGTCAATATGCTGGAGAAACAAAGAGAAGAATCTTATATGTGTAATACTAGCTTTAAAGCAGAGATGGACACTTCAAATAAGATCTTTCTTTTCTAGGGCAGCAACTCTTCTAAGAGGAAAATGAGTTTTCCCCATGTAACCTTCTTGCTTACATAAACATATAGGACAGAGTTCTCCACCCAGGAAGCCAGTAAAGTTACTCTTATTCACACCAGCCAAGGATCTGGTCCTGCATAAATCACTTAACCCAGTTAGTAACAAAAAATGATTGAAAAAATCTTGGAGAAAAAAAACATTCATTCAACATTTTGTCTTAAGAAATCATGAGAAAATACTGTAGCTGTTATGTACA